AACCCCTACCCCCCCCCCCCGCCGCTTCCACCCACCGCGGCGTAGATTGAACGATCATGGTGTTGGCCGTGCGGGGTCAGAGGGCTGTGGCACTGCTACACTTCCTGTGCTTGCTCTGGGCGACCTTCGCCCTGACTCAGAATTTGGGCTTCCCCAACCCGGTCCGCAAGGAGCAGGACCAAAGTTATGGCGGACAATGGAAATACCTGACCTTCCTCAACCAGGTGGGGCCGCGAGCGGGAGACCGTGCGCTTGCGCAGATTAGTCTTCGCCCTTCGCACGTGGTGGAGGAGGGGCTTTTGGGAGGGCGAGCCAATGAGAGCGAGGGTAGGCGGGGCCAGAGAGGAGTGAGCGGCGCCCCTCCTGGGGTCACCTTAGTGCGGGGTAGGCCAAATTCTGGGCATCGTTTCTTAGATGGAAATGGGGACCAGCCTTGATGAATCTGATAGGGGTCGGGCTACAAAATTCCCAGCCAACGGCTGTTCTGGCTGGGAATTCTGGAGGTGTAGTCCAGAACATCTGGAGGGTAACTGAGGCAGAGCAAGGAGCATCTGAATCAGTCTTCCCCCGATCTGGCACCCTCAAAATAACTGAAGAAAATCGCTCCCAGCACAAGTGAACGTTTGTAACCAGTAGTGACTGGAAATTTTGTGAGTGGTGATTTCTAGCAATACTGAGCGGTGTGGTGGTGTGGAATAAGAACTCAGGTTGAATCAATTTGTATTAGACTTATAAGTAAACATTTAAGTTTACTTGTACGTGTAGCATTGCTGTATGATTTAATTCATCCATGCTCTTCTCTGTACCTCTCATGTAACATCCTTAAGAATGGATTTTTTTTCATATTGTGTCATTGTGCGCCTGTTAGTGACTAATTGATGGTATATGTGTTAGAGGAATTTATTACCTTTCCATGGCTCCTTATCTCCTAATGCAGGGTCAGCCTGCTAAAATAACAGTTGGGGCCTTGGCTCAACTTGCCTATCACAGCTGCTATGTTGCATTTCCACAAATGTGTCTGCAGTGTTTTCACACCATGAAGGGTGCCCATGTCTCCCTTTGTGGCTAGATCAATTGTAAAGCAGTTCTTTCTCTATTTTGGATCCTCTGCTAAATGCTCAAACTATCTTTGATCAACATAAAATGCAGCTAAACTTGTGGCTTTTTCCTTGGTACTTCTGGGTGCAAGAGACCAGGGACTCACTGGAACCTGCTAGCTTTGGACTAATAAATTGATTGTTGGGCCCCTTCAGTTGAATTTCACTGGAAATTCTAGGAGCTGCAATCCCAAAATGTCTGCAGAGCGCTAGGGAGAAATTGATTTAGGCGTAGATTCACAGCTCTCACTTTTGAAGTCTGCAAGATGATACATCACACCTTTTCAAGTACCTGATGTAGTGTACTGAACAAATCTAGATTAAGGGACTAATTTATAATAGATGAAAACATATATAAAACAACTTTAAATTTTATTCTTGGGTAAGATATTAAATAGTGGAAAGAAAATGTACACTCCA